TAATGTGTATAAAAGGACATCCTTTCCTCACAGAATAACGTTTGACTGCTTCCTTGAATTGTTTGGAACTTTGAAACCTCATTCCAACTTCAAAACTAGGGACATCCCAAGCAGGATTAAAGTAGACATTTGCAGCTCTTCTTGGTCTATCTGCTGCCCTAGGAGCAAGAAAAATGTCATCTTCAGAATCTGTTGATGAGTCTCTCAACTTGCCAGCATCATCACTTGGAGCATATTCACTATCTCTCCCATCATTATCACTGTATAAGCACTCATCATTATCAACTAGAACTGATTGGGATGGATGTACTGGATCTCCCTTCTTTCCTTTTTTAAGGGTTAAGTCCTTCCCCTTGTAAGACCCCCTACCTTGTGGCAATGTTTTATACCTCTTCTCTGCAAGCTTGGCCTTTTCCTTTCTCCTTCTGGCCTTCTCAACAGGATCTATTGGAACCCCTTTGCTTGTAGATGTTGAGGTTGGATCTGTTGCTTTCTTTGTGGGGGTAGATCTAGGAGTTGGTTTCTTTGCAACAGTTTTGTACCTAACCCCTGTTTTTGAACCCTCAAAACCTGGAGGAACCTCTAATCCTTCTGTTGGTCTCCTTAGAGACCTTGCAGTAGCCTTCACAGCAATGGCTTCATCATCATCTCTGTCACTACCATCAACAGGATCTGCTTCTTCATCTGTTGAGCTCCAATCATCAACAGAACACTCTTCTTCACAGCCACCTCTATTACTGCATTCACCTCTTTCAAATGAATTTCCAAATTTACCCTTATTACCACCAATTGGCCTGTCTTGGGTTATGTTCCCTATGTCACCTCCCTCTTCTCCCTCATTAACTTCATTGTTACCATTCTGGCCTACCCTATCTTGTGGTCCCCAATCCTCATAAACTACATCATTATCAATCCAACCTATTGGTAGAGGAGCAATTTCAGCAAAATTAACCTCATGGTCCACATAAAACTCACATATCATCTCTTCTCTGACAATCCTCATAACATCCCTAATACTATCATCACCTGCCAAAGACTTTAAATGCCTAGGCATGCTTGCTAACATTCTTTTGTAGTAAACATTTTTAATCATAATGTCCTCATATCCTAAACCTACAATGAAATCCATAATAACATCAACATTCAACATATCACAGTCAAATGCATGTTCTGTACATATTCCCCCTTTGTACTCAAATGGAGGTCCAGCCACGAATGTCCCCCCATGGAAAATGGACAAAATCCCCCAGTAATCATCTGCCATTCTGGTCAATGGTAAGACAATCCAAAATTAATGTGGTCCATCAATCATAAAATATATTATATAATCGACAAAATGCACATGCATCCAACACTTACAGTCAACGACAAACTAGAAAACTTTATAAACAAACATTTTCCAAGTGAAAGCGACTGCAAAGGCTTACCTTTACTTTGTCCTTCACTTTGAACCCCACCACCAACTGCAACACTGACTGTGCGAGGGCCCTTTAAAGCTTCCGTGTTTTCTTTAGATTCACCAGAAAAGAGTTGAGCCAACTCTCGTCCCGTACTCAAAAGTGAATTTGGTTCAAAGATTTCTTTGAGAAATGGGTTTTCGATTTTCGCTGCAAATCAGAGTCGAAGAGGTAGAGGTTGGTTTTCCTTCTTCCTTTTTTAGGGCTAAATGGGGTCCATGACAAGGAAAGGGGAATAAAGGGTGACACGGTGTGTGAAACGGGCGGGATTGGTACACCTCAGCATCCAGCGTGTGAAAAAAAGACACGCTGGCACGAGCTAAACGGCGATCGTGACGGTGATGACGTCACCCGTTAGATAATGATCGATTTGGGTAAATCGATACTTTTGGGGTGTCATTTGTCCCTGCTTTTTTTTGAGGGGTGGATCCGTCCCTACCCATATTTGTCAGGGGGTGATTTGAGGGTTCTGCCTTCTCTTATAAGAGACTTCTTGTGAAAATTTAAAAGTTAAACCCCCCATTTGAGTCCCTCAACTATTGTAGTAACCTCTTGATTTAGTTCTTTAACTTAAAAAATCTTTGATTTAGTCATTATTGTTTATCATTTTGGCCCCCGTTTAGTCTTTTCATTAAAAATTTATCCTGTTAGTTGACCAAAAAGGGTGACATGTAGGATTGATAGCATGACATATAAAACTTGACACGTAATTTCTAGTAAAAATTAAAATATCTAAAATTAATTATACAACTAAAATTACATTTTTACCCTCATCTTTAACCACACATCAATTTCTTTCCAGTTTCCTTTTTTTACCCCTTCATTTTCATCCCTAGCATCTTATCTTCATCTTCTTCCCCTAGATCCTTGTTCATTGGCCTTGGGGGTTTTGGGTTTGATTGATGAACCCAGTAGGCGCTACTAGGTTCAATTGATGAACCCTTACTAGGTTGGATTGAAGAATGCTAGGTTTGATTGATGTACCCTTGTTGGGTTCGATTGAAGAATGCTAGGTTCAATTGATGAACTATTGCTAGGTTCGATTGAAGAACTGTTGCTAGGATTCATTAAAGAACCCAACAGGCGCTATTGGGTTCAATTGAAGAACCTGACAGGTGTTGGGTTCCCTTTTCTCCTTTTTTCATCTCTTCATCTTCTTTTTCCTCATCTCTTCTCCTCCATTTGAAACTTCTCTTTCATGTCTCTCCCTTCTTCCTCCACAAGAATCAAAGTTTTTGTAGAAATTTGGGGGAAGATACGTTGATTTTTCTGGGTTTTTTGGAAGGCTAAGAGGGCAGTGACCATTTTGGGCGATTTTGGGTTTATGTTTGTGTTATGCATGGATTTGATGTTAGAATATGTCTGAGTTTGCAGAAGGTGAAAGGAAAGGAAAAAGAAGAAGAAGCGGTTGCTGGGTTCCATTGACCTAGCGGCTATTGGGTTCGAAAGAACCCAGTCGTGTTAGGTTCCTTTTGGGTTCTTTTGAACCCAGCTTTCAAACCCAACGAAAGAGAGAAATTGAAAGAGAAAATGTCTAGATCTAGTGTTGGGGGAAGGATAGAGAGAGAAAAAAAATGAAAGGATGAAATTGCAGGTTTCATTGATGGCAATTGTAGGTTTCGCCTTTAGGGTTTGTAGAAGGCAAGGTAAGGAAGAAGAAGGAGAAAGAGGACAAAAAAGAATTTTTTAAGTATTTTTTGCCATATCATAATTTTTTTTGGCCATGTTGTCTTGCTGCGTGTATTTAATATTTGACACATCATCATGCTCATGTTAGTTAACAAGACACGTAAGCGAATTTTTAACAGAGGGACCAAGTTGGAGTCAAAATAGTAAACAATAGGGATCATATCAAGGTTTTTTTGAGTTGAGAGACTAAATCAGCATCCTTATAATAGTTGAGGGACCAAAATAAGAATTTAACCAAATTTAAAACGTGGGTTTCAATCCCACACTATCGTTTAAAAAAAAAAAAAACAAGTGCTCAGATTTGACTGTTTGACTAGCTAAACTTGCTACGGAAGTAGGGGGAAGCTCGGAGTGGTATTTAGCCGTCGAGGCAAAAATTAATTTCTTTGTCGAAGCCCTTTATTTTTTTTATAAATTCCTCGTTCTATAGCAAGATGGGCAAATTTCCATTTTCAGATTGATCCAGCCCTATCCGACAGGTAGGCTTCCCGTGCTCCAACTTTTCATCTTCGTCATGGGTTGAATATATACATGCTTAATTTGTTGTTTTGATCATTTTCCCTCTCATTTCTTCAATTTTTCTACTGTCTTGTTTTGTTGGTTGATCGGTTTTTTGAATATATCTTCCTTAATTTTTCTATTATAGCAAAGGAAGGCCTGGATCTGCTTAAGTATTAATTGTTTAATGAGATCAGCTAATTATAATCTTCAGTTATTCTACTGTGTTGTTTGTTAATTTTTAGTTGAATATTAAATCTTACTTAATTTTCTATCATCAGCTAAGGAAGGCTTGGATATACTTAAGTATTACTTGTTT